GGCTACTTACCTCAAACCGGTGAAAATACTACTCCGCGACGCCTTTGCCTCTCGAATCGGCCTCCACTCGCGTCGAATCTATTCAAAATCAGAGCGAATACGTCACAATATGCTAAGGGGACAAAGCCCAAGCGAAAACAATCAAAAAATATCAAAAATCCCGAAATTAGCAAAACCCGAGCCTCAGGCCCACTTCTCGAAACTCAGAAATTTTTACATCAACGGTTTCCTTATCTCCCCATGAGTCTATGCATATAAAGAATACCAAAATCGGAGTCCAAATGACCCCTCAAATCCCAAATCAAAACTGCAAAATTCCAAGCCCTAGTTCTTCCATTTATAGTTCAAGTTCCATGAATTTCTAGTTAGATTTCACCATAGAATCAAGTTTTAGTTCCGAAATTCTTACCTCCAATCGATTCCCTTTGAATCCCTCTTTAATCTCCACCAAGAAGCTCTCAAAATGATCAACTATGGGTGAAAATAGACCCAAAATCGCATCTGAAATGACTTAAAACATTTTGCCCAGGCCTTTCCGCATCTGCGGTCCAAAACCCGCTTCTGCGGTACCGCATATGCGGTCGATCCATCCGCTTCTGCGGAAATTCACTTAAGTCCCTTAAATCGCATATGCGACAAAATTCCGCATCTGCGGCTTCGCAGATGCGGCCACCTCGACCGCTTCTTCGGAAACCGCTTGCCAGCCCCCTTCTCGCATCTGCGGCTTGTTACCTCGCACCTGCGGTCCCACTTCAACTCTTCCGATAACCAGCCGAAATCACCCCGAGGCCCCCGGGACCTCAACCAAAAGCACAAACATAACCCAATACCTTATTCCAACTTGTTCCAATCGCCAAAACACCTCAAACAACATCAAATCTACCAAATCACATCGAATTCAAGCCTAAGTTTCTTAAATCTTCCGAAATACGTTTTTGATCAAAAACCCAACCAAACCTCGTCCAAATGACCTGAAATTTTGCACACACATCCCAAATCACATAACAAAGCTACTACAACTCTCGAAATTCCATTCCAACCTCTATATCAAAATCTCTCCTACCAACCGGAAACCGCCAAAATATCAACTTCGCCAATTCAAGCCTAAATCTACTCCGGACCTCCAAAACCCGTTCCAATCACACTCCTAAGTCACAAATCACCTCCCGAAGCTAACCGAACCATCGGAACTCACATCCGAGCCCTCTAACACATAAGTCAACATCCGATTGACTTTTCCAACTTAAGCCTTCTTAAAAAAGACTAAATGTCTCAGATTTCACCAAAACCAATCCGAATTCAATCCAACCAACCCGATACTTCAAAACACAGATGAACAAAGCAATAAGAAGCAGAAATGGGGGGAAACGGAGTGGTAACTCATGAGACGACCGGCCGGGTCGTCACATCATTATAGCATGTTTGGCCAAGCTTATAAAATCAGCTTCTTTTGAAATATTTTTATAAAAAATGCTTTTTAAAAATGTATTTTTGTTGAGAAGCAGTTTGTGTAATTTGACTAATTAATTTGAAAAGCACTTTTGAGCAGTAGTTAGTGTTTGGCCAAACTTTTAAAAAGTGTTTTTAAGTATATTTTTTTTCTCAAAAGTATCTTTGGAAGAAACTACTTTTTTCTGTTTCTCAAATATTTCTGTTTTTACTTAAAAGTACTTTTTTCCTTCTAAAAATTTGGCCAAACACCTTTAACTTTAAAGAAAAAATACTTTTGACCAGAAAGAAGCTTGGCCAAACAGGGTATTAGCCGGAATCTTTTCAAGGAGTTTGGTTGTCATTCATCCATTAAAATAAAGGGAAAATAAGTGAACGCCATTACAGCGAGATGCTTTACGGTGTTATTCTTGAAAAATAAAGTAGTTTAACAGCTTGTTTGGATGGTTGTTACTCATTGTATCGTATTGTATTGTTATCCCAAAATAATATTTGTCTTGATTGTTTTATTAAAATTGGTTGTATTGTATTGTTAAATCCATTATTCCGGAACAATGAAAAGTCCCTTTTTTTTAACAACCGATTTGGTGTGGTAGAATTGGTTCCTATTTTTCTTTCCAATTATGTCATAATTTATTACTCCATAATTCTATTTTACCCTTTATATTTTTTTTTATTTTAACTCCAAATCTCCCACCTGTAACCTACTTTGTCTTCGTCCGTTTTTTTTTCCAGAACTTATGTCGCTTCCAAATCCAACGTAAAATTGCTTTTGTTAGAATTTGCATGAATTTAATTGCTTAATCTATTTACAAGACATATTTGGGGATAAATTAGTAGAAAGGGGTTTTCTTAAATTATTTTTTATGCGTAATTCTTGATAAATTTAATATTTAAATAATTGGGGGTATTTTAATAAACTTATCAGTTACAGTACAGTACTATACAGTCAAACCAAACAGCAAAATGCTATTTAACAACAGAAAACAATACAATCTATCCAAACGTTATATTTATAAAACGATACAATACAACACAATACAATACATAATAAAATGATGGGTAACAACCATCCAAACAAGCTGTAAATCTTAAAACACCCTAGAGGATTTTTAAACTCTCTTTTTTCCTAAAACTTGAGCTTTCTTTTCTTCTAATGTCGTAAAACGAAATAAATGTAAGCTATTGTATTCTCCTTTTGTTTTCCAAAACAAAAAGCACTTAACATCAATAGGAAATCCTAACAAGGCCATAATATTCTCCTTCCCATGTCCTTTGTTTATGAGATGGTAAAGCTAGAAGAAGGTAAATTTTCTAACAACCATAACAGTAAAAGATATTTACAACAAAACCCAAATCGTGACATTTGAATCACAAGTCAAGTTGTGATTGGGACAAGAAAATGGAAAGTTAAAGATCAAGTCGTGATTGGAATAAGATAATAGAAAAGTATGATAGTACATGAGTAACGTGTTGGAAATTAAGGGAAGGAAATTAGAGAAACAACAAACAACAACATCAACAACAACAACTCAGTAAAATTTCACGAGTGGAGTTTTGGGAGGTTAGTGTATAAGCAGACCTTATCCTTACCCAATGGGATAGAGAGGCGATTTTCGAAAGATCATTAGCTCAAGAAGACGAAAATACACACTATATCAGTACCATCAACAGAAAATCAAGAAGTAATGACAATGACATAAGAACCAGGAAATAGATTAAAAACAATAACAATAATAGTAAATAATTAAGGCCTGGCACAATGAAAACGACACAATAATGTGAACACAACATTAACCACTAGCAGGCGAAGACTAAAGAATATAACAAATATTCCTTACGTCCAAATTTCATAGTTATTTAACGTCATCGAGATGACTGCCCATGTTCAAGTTTTCCACAAATATTGAGAAAAGAAAGAAGACACACACACTGTGTTTGGTTTTATTTTAGTTTTTTTTCTTTTAGAGAATTGATTATACAAATTATTATAAGAAATATAATATAAGATTTAGAAACAAGATTATTATGAAAAACAAACATCAAAAAGTATTTATCTTAAATTCCTTTTCTAATGGACATTCCCATTCTGAAACAACATAGATAAAAATATGAAAGCAAAAATTAATCAGATCGTTTAATGGAGATAATATTAATTAACACATTAATTAACCATAACCAGTAGTATATTTTATGTTGGGCTAAACTAGCCCAATACACTCTTAATATGGTGTGATATTGTCCACTTTGGGGCAAGACCGCACGGTTTTCCCCAAAAGACCTCACACCATTAAGAGATCCCTATATGTAGACTCCCAATCTTTCAGCTACCAATGTGGGACTTTGTTCGCACACCCAACAATCACCTCCTCGAACTAAGTTCCACGTGGCCCACTACCACGATCCACGGGTCAATTTCCGAGATTATTGTGTGTCACCCACATTATTAGAATATTATGGCAACCGAAGCCCGCAACTATCTTCTTCTTGTGTACATGTCGCTCCGCACCATCACTCCGCCATCTCCATACTCGTCCCGCTGAACCTGGGCTCTCATACCAGTTGTTGGGCTAAACTAGCCCAAATACACTCTTAATATGGTGTGATATTGTCCGCTTTGGGCCAAGCCCGCACGGTTTTCTCCAAAAGGGGAGAAATTCAAAAATAGCCAGATTTACAAGTGGTCGTTCAAAAATAGCTCAGTTTCAAAAGTAATCGAAATTTAGCCATTTTTCATGTAAAGATAAATCTGAGCGAAAACACTGTTCAAAACCCGAAAAATACACCAGTATATTATGCTGGAGTTCATACACAAGTGCTTGAATCTCCAGTATATTATGCTGGAACTTTCCGTGTGTTGGAGTTTCAGCATAATATGCTGGAAGTTCATACACAGGTGCACCGAACTCCAGTATATTATGCAGGAACGGTCTCTGACGTTGGCTATTTCTGAATGACCAGCCCGAAAACTGGCTAGACCGTGCTATTTTTACCCCCAAAAGGCCTCACACCATTAAGAGATCCCTACACCTTATATGTAGACTCCCAATATTTCCAGCTACCAATGTGGGACTTTGTTCGCACACCCAACATTTTATTTAACAAAAAGCACGTCTGCTAGATCAATAAAGTGTTTAACTTCATGCATTGACAATTTAAAATTATTTTGCAACATCATGTAAAATATTTTTTTTAGTTTCCCATCCGGTATCCACATTGGGCCCGACTAAATTCTGATTCGCTCCGGAAAGTCCCACATTGGGGGGTAAAGCGCTCCCCAACAAAGGCAACTCCATACCTAGGGACTCGAACCCGAGACCTGTGATTAAGGATGAAAGAGACTTCTGGTGTCAGGTAAAATATTTTACAACAATTGGTAACTGCTTATATATATAACTTTAATATGGTAACCTAGAAAATAAGATAAATAACTATCTATAATAGGATATATTACATTGATATTGCCATGTCAAAATTTTAGTAAGTCATTCGCCCTGTGAAATCTTCAAGATTTCTCCTATAAATACCCTTGGTAGTAAATCTAGTTTTTCCATTCAAAATACAACAGTTCTCCTATAGTCGTGGGATTTGTTCTCTTTTCACAAATGCCTTCATTTCTTCTTGTCTCTACACTTCTCTTATTCCTAATAATGTCCCACTCTTCTCATGCCCAAAATTCTCAACAAGACTATTTGGATGCCCATAACACAGCTCGTGCAGACGTAGGCGTAGAACCTTTGACCTGGGACGACCAGGTGGCAGCCTATGCGCAAAATTATACTTCCCAATTGGCTGCAGATTGTAACCTCGTACATTCTCATGGTCAATATGGCGAAAACCTAGCTGAGGGAAGTGGCGATTTTATGACGGCTGCTAAGGCCGTTGAGATGTGGGTCGATGAGAAACAGTATTATGACCATGACTCAAATACTTGTGCACAAGGACAGGTGTGTGGACACTATACTCAGGTGGTTTGGCGTAACTCGGTTCGTGTTGGATGTGCTAGGGTTCAGTGTAACAATGGAGGATATGTTGTCTCTTGCAACTACGATCCTCCAGGTAATGTTATAGGCCAAAGTCCATACTAAAATGATGTCCATTTAATTTCACGTTATATGTATTGACTTCTGCTTGATATATATCAAGAACTTAAATAATTAAGTATAGAGTGGAGTACTATATTTGTAATCCTCTGAAGTGGCTATATAATAAGATCAAGAGGTCTTTAATTAAGGGGGAAAATTATGAATTCAGCTTGATGTATGATCTGATTATATTATTATGAACTCTTTAGTACTTTTACGATTCATGTGTTGATGATGTAGCTACTTGCGATATTATGTGCAAGATCTTATAACGACATGCATTTTCAAACAGAAGGAACCAGTTAACACAGTTCATATAATCTACTAGAGGGCCAAAAACATGTAAACTACCAACTTAGGTGGTCGGAGGATATTGAAAGTGGAGTAGCTAGTTTTTAATAACTGAACTGTCGTCTTAAAACTGACGGTATAAAAATATTTACGCAATCAGATCATTTATAAAGTAATTATAAGTAAATATGTATGGCGAATTATCAATCAGTAATATGGAAAAAAAATTGTAACTAACCTACTATAATAGGTTAGATTACATTAATCATGTCATTAGAAGATCTTTAATTTACATTGTCTATTTATACGAGGGGAGCCTTGGCGTAACTGGTAAAGTTACTGCCATGTGACTAGGAGGTCACGAGTTCGAGCCATGGAAACAATCTCTTTAGAAATGCAAGGTAGGCTGCGTACGATAAACCGTTGTGGTCTGACCCTTTCCCGAACCCGGTACTTAGCGGGAGCTTAGTGCGTCGAGCTGCTCTTTTTTGTTTATACAATAATAACAACAAACCCATAAAAATCTCACAAAGTGGGATATGATTGTTTAGCACAGTACAGTTACATAAGCATTAGAGCCGTCAATGTGGGCTTGGCCCGTTGGGCCAGCCAGCCCAGCCCAACCCGTGATTTAGCAGGGCTGGGCTAGAATTTTTGGAGCCTATTTAAAAACGAGGCTTTTAAGCCCAGCCCGACTAAGCCTGTGGCCTGTGAGGCTTGACTAGGGGGCGATGTGCACAAATAGCCACTAACAGCTCATGTCTTTATTTTAAAGCCAGTGTTTTAAATGTCTTTAGCCTTTAGCCACTAGTTTAATAAACTTTAACTGCCCGGACGAAAATACCCTTTTGCTCATATCCTTAACTTCAGGACTTCAGGACTACATGTCCTTAACTTTTGAACTTGAAACTCTAAGTTCAGGACTTCAAGACTACATGTCCTTAACTTTTTAACCTGTAACTCTAAGTTCAGGACTTCAGGACTACAAGTCCTTAACTTTTGAACTTGGAACTCTAAGTTCAGGACTTCAAGGTTACATGTCCTTAACTTTTGAACTTGGAACTCAAACTTCAAGACCAAGCGTCCTTAACTTTTGAACTTGTAAGTCAAAGTTAAGGACCTATTGTCCTTAACTTTTGAACTTGTTTGTCCTTAACTTTTGAACGAACTTGTAACTGTAAGTTAAGGACTGTCTGTCCTTAACTTTTGAATGTGTAAAAGTTAAGGACTGTCTGTCCTTAACTTTTGAACTTGGAACTGTAAGTTAAGGACTGTCGGTTACATGTCCTTAACTTTTGAACTTGGAACTCAAACTTCAAGACCAAGCGTCCTTAACTTTTGAACTTGTAAGTCAAAGTTAAGGACCTATTGTCCTTAACTTTTGAACTTGTAACTGTAAGTTAAGGACTGCTTGTCCTTAACTTTTGAATGTGTAACTGTAAGTTAAGGACTGTCTGTCCTTAACTTTTGAACTTGGAAATCAAACTTCAAGACCAAGCGTCCTTAACTTTTGAACTTGTAAGTCAAAGTTAAGGACTTATTGTCCTTAACTTTTGAACTTGTAACTGTAAGTTAAGGACTGCTTGTCCTTAACTTTTGAATGTGTAACTGTAAGTTAAGGACTGTCTGTCCTTAACTTTTGAACTTGGAAATCAAAGTTAAGGACCTATTGTCCTTAACTTTTGAACTTGTAACTGTAAGTTAAGGACCTATTGTCCTTAATTTTTGAACGTGTAACTGTAAGTTAAGGACTGTCTGTCCTTAACTTTTGAACTTGAAAATCAAAGTTAAGGACCTATGTAAGTTAGAAAAAATAGAAAATGAATACGAACAAGCAAAGAACAAAGAATTGAGAAGTACCTCAAAAATAGCAGAAATAAAAGCAGGTGATTTTTTTTTTTTGGCAAACTGTTTTTTGAGGTTTATGTTGGCTTGGTACTATAATAAGAACAATTCCCAAGAAGTGAAATGGGAAAGATAATGGATCTAAGTCATAGAGTTTTGATATTATTCTGACGCAAGTCTTGGAAATATTTGTTGTTCACCCTAATAATTCTAATAGTAATAATAATTGCAGACACACTGCAGAAATAGTAGTACAACGATGAAGAAAAGACTTTTTGTGGTCTCCTTTCTTATGTGGCTACGACGAAAGTGAAATAAGAACGTAAACATTCATTTTGGATTATGGAGAAGGCACGCAGAGAAGAAGCGAGGGTTTGGGAAGAAAAGCAAGGGAAGAAAGGGTAAAAATATCTTTTCACATTAATTTTAATAGGGCAGTGGCTATTTTTGCTCAACATTAGAATTGCTGGATAAAAAATAAATACCACCTTAAATAGTGGCTACCCCATGCCATTTCTACTTGACTAGGCTGGGCTGGGTTGGCCCATGGGCCTAATAAAAATACGTATGCAAAATATATAAATATAAAAAGTATATGACACAAAAAATATCAAGAAGAGTATCCCAAACTTAAAGTTTATTAAGCTCATCATATTAAAAGATCAAAGTCTTAAAACGTTAATTAGTTTTAAAAATTTAATTATTCTTAATATTTAACTAATTAATAATGCACACGAATTGTAGACGTAGTAGAAAGTGAAGAGGTTAAGACAACCTTCTCACAAGCGGATTCAAATGTGTTTGATGAAGATGATGTGTCAGATATCCCATAAGCGTCATGGGCGTTCTCTTGAATAGTTTGTTTTGAGTTTTGACTTTTAGTGAATGAAATATAGTCTTGTCTTTTACTTTTTTAGTGTTTATTTGATATATTAGAACCGTATAAAAAGTTATTAAGTTTTGTAAAAAAAATTCAATTAGATTTTTTTAACTTCTTAAATATTTATCTTTTTTTAGTTTAGAACAAAAAGAAAAAATATAAAATTATATTTTATGGGTCGGCCCGTGGGGGCCGGTAGCCCACATAGGATTGGGGTGGGCCGATCATTATAAAGCCCATCAAAATGGTGGCCAGGTCAGCCCGTCAATTGCTAAAGTCCACGTGAGCTGGGCTGGGCTAGCCCGACCCCGCCCATATTGACAGCTCTATAACCATATGGTAAGCAGACGAAATTCACAACATAAGGAGTTTCTAATTAACGATTACTACGTGACCTCCCAAATTTGCTGCTACAGATCCTCCTCTTCTCCTCTCTAGTTGTATTCTTCATTAGTCTATCCATAATCTCTGTCTCTTCCATTTGGTTGTTATTAAAGCACACACAAAAAATTAGAATTATAACGACGGAATAAAACAATTGGATTATTTTCAATCCTAGTTGCTATCCAATTTTGCTTTTTCGCGTCTTTTGATGAATAAACAGTAAAATAGTAGGAAAACAAAAGATACGCCGTTGCCGGGGATCGAACCCGGGTCACCCGCGTGACAGGCGGGAATACTTACCACTATACTACAACGACTTAGTTGTTTATAGTCATCAATATTTCTAATTTGGACATGCTTACATAATTGTTAAGCTAAACATTGTTTCCATGATTATCAAAATGAAAATTGTTAATGACATTAAAGAAATTTACAAAAAGGAGTTTCTTTATACAAGTAGCAGTTTAGGAAAAATTCACCATTTTCATAGCCAGATGCATTCGACTTATAATAGGCAGATGCTGACGGATTAAGGATATAAGTTCTATGGGTTTAATATCAAGAAATATATCCGCACAAACTGAAAACTTTTCTGGGGACACAAAATTCTGAAGCAAGTAACATTTTCCTTCGTTGAGCTCAATTCACATTTTCCTTCACTAACATAACAATTTAAATGTATGACTGCACCTTGTATAGAATACAATATTTTGTGCATTTTAGCACTTGTGCGTCCATTTCTCTTTCACTTATTTTATTGCGTCGGCTGTTTATCTCTGTCCAACAATTTGGGTTTATTATCCATCTTGACGTCAAGTTTGACTTCTACTATGAATTCTTCACGTACGTGTCAAACAGTTGAATATTCATTTAACTTAGCTAATGTACTCCAGATTTCGATCTACCTATCCCTAAAATATTTCATTTTATGAGATCTTAGAAGCATTATCCACAAGACAACCAACACCTAAGCCTATATAGTGACTTCCTCCTTATCTTCTTTTTCATCATCATTATCACTAATAATAATAATAATAATAATAATAATAATAATAATAATAATAAAAAAATATTGTGCTGTCGTTATTATTATTGTCGTGCACAAAACATCCAACACCTAAGCCTATATAGCCTCTATATTATCGCTTAAATGTATGCCACCTGATTCTTAATGTATGCCAACTCAGAAACCAATTGACTTAGGAATTTTACCAAGAAGCAACAAAAATCAACCAACATTGAATTCCTGATCTCAAAATTTCATTCCTTAACCATAACTCCATCACTATGTCAAAAATTCATTTTATTTACAAGAATCAACTAATAAATAAATACTTCCCAACGAGGCAAAGAGGAAGGGAAAAAAAAACAAGAGATATTGATAATCACTGTACAGTCTATTCTAGAAGGAAAATGTAGGAAAAATATAAACCAGCAAAAAACTGCTGGCAGTTGGCAAAATTTCAATGAAAGCCCACATCTCACGACCCATATAAAGATTGTAACCGACCCGGTTAGCCTTCATTCATGATCCGACTGCCTCAACTCTTTCCGGAGCTTCTTAGTAAAAGACTGACAAGCATCCATACTAAGATCCATGGCAGCTGCCAACGCCACGAAAGCTGCAGCATCCTCCACACAATTCACGTGCTGCACCCCGACAACCACCTCCGGCTTGCTGCATTTTCCGTCACCCTCCACCGTGGACGACATCACGAATCCACGGTATAAGAGCTGTGCCCACGACCCGGATCCGGGTGCTGA